ACCACCACCACCACCGCCGCCGGGTTTGCGGTGGCCCTGGCGACGGAGGAGCGACCCCGGGCGGACGCCGGGGGGCGGGGGTTTGTTCTTGATGCGGTCCCACATGCTCCTCTAGACGTGGCGGGAGGTGGTGGATGGTGGTGGTGGGGGGGAGGGGAGATGCGGAGGATGAAGATGCGGAGATTGTGGATGCGGAGATTGTAGAGGATGAGGGAGGAGGAGGAGGCGGTGACGGACGTGGAGGATGTGGAGGACGTGGAGGATGAGGACGTGGAGGACGTGGAGGATGAGGACGTGGAGGATGAGGACGTGGAGGATGAGGACGTGGAGGACGTGGAGGATGAGGACGTGGAGGATGAGGACGTGGAGGATGAGGACGTGGAGGATGAGGACGTGGAGGATGAGGACGTGGAGGATGAGGATGTGGAGGATGAGGATGTGGAGGATGAGGACGTGGAGGATGAGGATGTGGAGGATGAGGATGTGGAGGATGAGGATGTGGAGGATGAGGATGTGGAGGATGAGGATGTGGAGGATGTGGACGTGGAGGACGTGGACGTGGAGGATGAGGATGTGGAGGATGAGGACGTGGAGGACGTGGAGGATGTGGACGTGGAGGATGTGGAGGATGAGGACGTGGAGGATGAGGACGTGGAGGATGAGGACGTGGAGGATGTGGAGGATGAGGAGGATGAGGAGGATGAGGAGGATGTGGAGGATGAGGAGGATGTGGAGGATGAGGATGTTGATGGATGTTGAGGTAGGGAGGGAGATGGAGATGGGGGGTGTTAGAGTTGCTGTTCTTAGCGAGCATCAGCAGCGTCTATGACGGCAGGCGGGGGCACACAGAGGGGGTGGGTGGCCACCAGCACCACCACGCCCGGCCGCCTTTGTCTCCCCCAGCCCCAGCGATGGTCACTGCACCGCACCGCTACACCTGGTTACTACTCACTTGAGGCCGAGTCGACCTAGGGGAGGCCCAGGTACCGGTTCAGATAATCGTCACCGGTGGTGTTGGCCGTGAGCGTGAATCGAACCCGGGTCGCTGAGTTCGTAGGGCAGCGCAAACCACTACACTACACACTGACTAGACACTACACTACACACTACACTACACACTACACTAACTAGACACTACACTACACACTACACTAACTAGACACTACAACAACAACCGCCATTGGCCACTAAGTGGCGGTGACGTCACCACGACGCTTGTGCCAGGCTATGTGCACCCTGAGGCCACGTGAAGTGTCGAAAGCCCGCTGGCAGGAGGTCACGGGGCAGACCCAGGTGCCACGGGTCGACTGACTGAGATGACTGGCTGATGCACCACCTGTGCCCCCTACTGTGCCAACCTGCTGTGCTTTAGCCACCCGGCGCTCTGCTCGTTGTTCTGAGCATCGCTCCTCCGCCCTCCGTTGTTGTTGGAGGGCGACTACCTCCAACTACCCAGTAGCATCCTTCACGAGCCTCCTCCACAGAGGCCGATCTTGACACCGCTGGTACCAGTCATCGGCAAGTCCACTCAGCTCCACGTCCTCCTGTACCACATCACTCCATCTCTTCTCTAGCCCGTGCCGCGCCCGCTTAGCCCCCTCAATCCGGCCGAACAAAAACTGTTTCGGCATGCGGTGGCTGGGCATGCGGGTTACATGACCCAGCCATCGCAGCCTGGTCCGCCGGAGGAGCTCACCGATGGGACCTTGCCCAGATCTTTCAAGGATTTGTGAGCTCCTCACACAATCCAGTCTGGTTAAACCCAGGATGGATCGTAGGCAGGCCAGCCTAAATGTTTCTAACCGGCGAAGATGTTCCATTAGGAGAGTCCATGTTTCGCAAGCGTAGAGAAGGGAGGGAATGACCGTGGCCGAGAAGACCTGAAGCTTAGTGCGGAGCGACAGACCAAGTAGCTTCCACACAGCGTTACGCAACCGATGAAAAGATATTGCCGCTTGACTGATTCGGAGTGAGACCTCTGCTGTTAAACTGGAGCCAGTCATAAGCACACTGCCCAGGTATGGGAAACTCTCCACTCTCTCCACAACTGCCCCATCACCGATTGGGAGTTGTGGGGGTGGAGTGTCCGATGGTACAAAATACCCAGGCAGGTGCTTAGTTTTGGTGGGGCTGATGGTAAGGCCCCACCTCTTAGTGGCACGCTCCAGTCTCAGCAGCAGCGTCTCCAACTCCTCCTCTGAATGAGCAGCTATTACCAAATCATCAGCATACATAACGTGGTTGAGCAATAGGGAGCCATCCCTTGACCGCACCCGGGCATCGATCAGCCTCCCATTATATCTGTACCATATGGAGATTCCCCCGGTACAGCTATTGAAGGCTTCACAAACTACGTGGTAAAAATAGATGTTAAATAATGTGGGAGCCAGAGGACATCCCTGTCGCACCCCAAGGTGTAAAGGGAATGGCTCTGACTCCCGGCCACGTAATTTTACCCGGGCCCGCTCACCATCATGAAGGTCCTTAATGATCGTGAACAGAGGGTCAGGTACTCCAAAAGCACGAAGAACGACCCAGAGCCCAGGCCTACTGATGGTATCATAGGCCTTGACTAGGTCAATAAAGCAGAGATGTAGGTCTTGTTGGAATTCCCTACACCTCTGCTGTAGCAGACGGACAGAAAATATGGCATCTGTGCAGGACCGCCCTTTCCTGAAACCGCATTGGGGCTCCGCAAGCCTCTTCTCAGCGTGCCTGGCAAGGCGATGCTGAATAATCCTTGCCAGGACCTTTCCCGGCACACTGCGGAGTGAGATGCCCCTGTAGTTGTTACAGTCTGTGCGGTCCCCCTTCTTAAAAAGGGGGACCTTCTTAAAAAGGGGGACCACCAGGGCATCCTTCCAATCCTGCAGAAACCGTCCAGTGGTCCAGACTGTTGTTATGATGTCATATAGGGCAGTCTGTGCACAAACGCCACCCTCCCTCAGCATTTCGCTTGGGAGAAAATCTCTGCCCGCTGCCTTTCCTGGTCTCAGACTCCGGATCGCCTTCAGTACTTCCTCAACAGATGGCACCTCAGCCAGCCACTCACAGGGGGTGACTTCTTCCAATATTTGAGGCACCGCAGCCTCAGCAGGGTCATCCTCACTTTGTGCCACGATGTTTTCCTGGCTGAGGGATTTTCCCTCCCCCAGGACCTCACAGAAATGCTCAGCAAATCTGCAAACCTGTTCCTGGGGGTCGAAGATTGGATCACCGTTTTTTCCCTTAATGATGGTAATAGGTGTGGCGCTACAGGTTACTTTTTTGATGGAGCTAAATAGAGATTTGTGATCACGAGCCACTGAGGCAGACTCCATCTCCTCAGCAACCCGCGACCACCACCCATCCTTGCAGCGCCTCACGGCTCTCCGAACCTCCGAGCGAAGGCTGCGGTAAGCCTCCTCATTCTCTGACGTGGGATTCTGTAGCCGATGACAGTGGGCCTGTCGCTTTTTCTCAACCATCCTGAACACCTCCTCTGTCAGCCAGGGTCTCTGGGGAGGTCTGGACCGCATACCCAAAGCAGCCAGTGCAGATGCATGAGTCACAGTCCTAAACCTCGCCCATTTACCCTGGACATCAGGAGGAGTCGAGGACGATGCCAATCCCAGCCGCAAGCGATGATGAAATTCTCGCTTGCAACTTTCATCAGATAACTGAGACCAGGCCACTTTAGGTCGGGATGGGGTCCTGGGTGTACACCCACCACCGGAGTGGAAGAATGGCAGGCGCATCTTACAGATGACTAGTCGATGGTCAGAGGGCAGATCAGCTCCACGGTAGGTCCTGGTGTCAAGGACATGGGCTCGCATCCGCTGGTCCGTCACTATGTAGTCCAGCAGATGTTCTTGCTTGGACCCGGCATGCATCCATGATGTTGTGTGGATGCGCCGATGCCGGAACAGCGTGTTGGTAATTACAAGCCCATGGGCTGCACAAAAATCTAGCAGCCTCCTACCGTTATTATTGAGCGGATCTGACCCATGCCCTCCAATCACTCCAGACTAGGTGCCAGTATCATGACCAACTCGGGCACTGAAGTCACCCAACAAGATGACTCTATCCCGAGGGGCCACTTTAGCCAGCACCTGTGACAGGAGGTCATAGAAGGCATCTGACTCATCGGCTTTGCCTGCATCCCTCCACGGATGTTCATCTTCGGTGGGGGCATAAGTAACCACGACCACCATTCCTCGCCTCCGGTTGATGGGAAGGCGAGCCCAAAGTAGCCTGGGGCTTACAGCTTCCCACACCTCACCGCCACGCTCCCACGCCCCCTTCATTCTTTTGTCCAAAAGAAGAGCCACACCCTGTTGTTTGGCAGTCTGCTGCCCCGAGTTGAGGACTGTCCACCCCTCATGGTGGCAGGAGCCAGAGCCGGGCCACCGGACACACGCGCACACACACACACAGACACACACGCACGCACAGACACGTGCACACACAAACACACACACCCACACACGAAAGACAAAGACACACACACACGGACGACACGCACACACAGACACACACACACGAAAGACAAAGACACACACGGGTAGTACACACTCTGCGTACCAGCGTGTGCAAGTGGCCTCGGCACTTAGCAGTGAGCGGCGGTTGTTGTTGTTGTGTTTGTTGTTGTTGTGTTTGTTGTTGTTGTTGTGTTTGTTGTTGTTGTGTTTGTTGTGTTTGTTGTTGTTGTTGTTGTGTTTGTTGTTGTGTTTGTTGTTGTTGTGTTTGTTGTTGTTGTTGTGTTTGTTGTTGTGTTTGTTGTTGTTTTTGTTGTGTTTGTTGTTTGTTGTTGTTGTGTTTGTTGTTTGTTGTTGTTGTGTTTGTTGTTGTTGTTGTGTTTGTTGTTGTTGTTGTGTTTGTTGTTGTTGTGTTTGTGTTACTCACTCGGGGCTGGCGACGCTCCACACAGCTGCCCATGACCACGACGTGCAGCTCTGGGATCTCGGCCGAGGAAACCTTCAGGAGGTGCCGCACGGCGCCGGATGACTCGGGCACAACCCAGGTCACGGCCACCTGCTCACAGCCTCCAGCCTGTACACACACACACAAATACACACAGTGACACACAGTGATACACACACAGTGACACACACACAGTGACACACACACAGTGACACACACACAGTGATACACACACACAGAGATACACACACAGAGACACACAGTGACACACACACAGTGATACACACACACAGTGAAACACACAGAGACACACACACACAGTGATACACACACAGAGATACACACACACACAGTGATACACACACACAGTGATACACACAGTGACACACAGTGACACACACACAGTGACACACACACACACAGTGATACACACAGTGACACACACACACAGATACACACACAGAGATACACACAGTGACACACAATGACACAGACACAGTGACACACAGTGACACCCACACAGATACACACAGTGACACACAGTGATACACAGTGACACACACACACACAGTGATACACAGATACACACAGTGACACACAGTGATACACAGTGACACACACACACAGTGATACACACAGTGATACACACAGTGATACACAGTGACACAGACACAGTGATACACACAGTGACACACAGTGACACAGACACAGTGACACACAGTGACACCCACAAAGATACACACAGTGACACACAGTGATACACAGTGACACACACACAGTGATACACAGATACACACAGTGACACACAGTGATACACAGTGACACACACACACACAGTGATACACACAGTGACACACAGTGATACACAGTGACACAGACGCAGTGATACACACAGTGACACACAGTGACACAGACACAGTGACACACAGTGACACCCACACAGATACACACAGTGATACACACACACAGATACACACAGTGATACACACACACAGATACACACAGTGATACACACACAGTGATACACACAGTGACACACACACAGTGATACACACAGTGATACACACAGTGATACACACAGTGACACAGTGATACACACAGTGATACACACAGTGACACAGTGATACACACACACAGTGACACACACACACACAGTACGGCGAGAAGTCCCTATACCCCTGTCCAATGGCATCTAATAGACTTGCATATACACAGGGGTATACTGACTTCTCGACCACCACCAACACAACCGTTTAATATTTTTGATTTTCAGGGTGGGCGAGAAGTTCCTATACCCCTGTCTAATGGCATCCAATGAGATCACCCGTACACAGGGGTATACGGACTTCTCGACCACCACGTCTAGTTTAACATTTTTAAGACACAGGTTGGGCGAGAAGTCCCTATACCCCTGTCCAATGGCATCTTATAGACTTGCATATACACAGGGGTATACTGACTTCTCGACCACCACCAACACAACCGTTGAACATTTTGATTTTCAGCGTGGGCGAGAAGTTCCTATACCCCTGTCTAATAGCATCCAATGAGATTACCCGTACACAGGGGTATACGGACTTCTCGACCACCACCAACACGTCTAGTTTGTTTAACATTTTTAAGACACAGGTTGGGCGAGAAGTCCTTATACCCCTGCCCAATGGCATCTAATAGACTTGCATATACACAGGGGTATACGGACTTCTCGACCACCACCAACACGTGGCGATATCACCCTCACCACTCCCCTCACCCCCATCACCCTCACCACCACCACCCTCACCACCACCACCACCCTCACCACCACCACCACCCTCACCTCCACCACCCTCACCTCCACCACCCTCACCACCACCACCCTCACCACCACCCTCACCACCACCACCACCCTCACCTCCACCACCCTCACCACCACCACCCTCACCACCACCCTCACCACCACCACCACTACCCTCACCACCACCCTCACCACCACCACCACTACCCTCACCACCACCACCACCCTCACCACCACCCTCACCTCCACCACCCTCACCTCCACCACCCTCACCCTCACCACCCTCACCTCCACCACCCTCACCACCACCACCCTCACCACCACCACCCTCACCACCACCACCACCCTCACCACCACCACCACCCTCACCACCACCCTCACCACCACTCTCACCACCCCCCTCACCCCCCTCACCACCACCACCACCCTCACCACCACCACCCTCACCACCACCACCCTCACCACCACCCTCACCCTCACCACCCCCCTCACCACCACCACCACCACCACCCTCACCACCACCACCACCACCCTCACCACCACCCTCACCTCCACCACCCTCACCCTCACCACCCTCACCACCACCCTCACCACCACCCCCCTCACCACCACCCTCACCCTCACCACCACCCTCACCACCACCCTCACCACCACCACCACCACCCCCCTCACCACCACCACCACCACCCCCCTCACCACCCCCCTCACCACCCCCCTCACCACCCCCCCCACCCCCCTCACCACCCTCACCACCACCACCACCCTCACCACCACCACCACCACCCTCACCACCACCCTCACCCTCACCACCCCCCTCACCACCACCACCACCCTCACCACCACCACCCTCACCACCACCACCACCACCCCCCTCACCACCCCCCTCACCACCCCCCTCACCCCCCTCACCACCACCACCCCCCTCACCACCCTCACCACCACCACCACCCTCACCACCCTCACCACCACCACCACCACCACCCTCACCACCACCACCACCCTCACCACCGTCACCCCCCTCACCACCCCCCTCACCCCCCTCACCCTCACCACCCTCACCACCACCCCCCTCACCTCCACCAGCACCTCCCCCGGCACGACGCTGAATCCGACGGCGGCCGCCGCGCCCGTGACCGCCGCGGCTGCCGCCACGGGCCACGCGTTCGGGTTACGGAGCCGCAGGCGGAGCGAGCGGCGGTCGAGGGGCCCGCGGACCCCGAAGTCGAGCACGGGGCGAGCCGCGAAGTGCGAGAGCAGCAACTCGGCGCACTCCACCTCGTCGTAGTCCACCACCTCATCATCATCATCATCATCCACCACCTCGTCCACCACCTCCACCACCTCCTCCTCCTCCATCGTCTGTCCGCTTGCGACCGTTCCCGCCGTGCACGCGGCGGCGTCTGGCGACCGTTTGACGGTGGCGCGCGACCCAACGTCCCGGGGGGGGGGGAAGGCCGTTGGCCAATCGGAAGGCGAGAAGCGGTTGGAGGTTGGGGGTGGGGGGGTTGGGGTGTGGCCAATCGGAGAAGGAGGTTTGGTTTGTGTGGGCGGGGGAAGTGAGGGGGTGTGGCTAATCGGAGGAGGAGGGTTGAGATGGAGGAGGAAGAGGAGGGGGGTGGGGCATTGTTGTTGATGATTTTAAATTTGAGGGCCCGTTGGCCAATCGGAGGGAGGAGAGTCGGTTGGTTGAGGGGAGGGGGGTGGGAGTGGGTGGGCCAATCGGAGGGCGAGATCGGCATGAGTGGGTGTGGGGGCGGGTAGATGGCCAATCGGAGGGCGAGAGGCGGTTGGGGTGGGGGTTGGGGTGTGGCCAATCGGAGGGAGGAGAGTCGGTTGGTTGTGGGGGGTGGGGGTGGGTGACCAATCGGAAGGGCGAGAGGGGCGGTTGGTGGAGGTGGGGGGGTAGGTTGGGTGTCCAATCGTAGGAGGAGATCGGCTGGTGTGGGTGGATGGGGTGGGGGTGGTCGGGGTGGGTGGGTGACCAATCGGAGGAAAGAGAGCGGAGGGTTGAGGATTGTTGTCGATTTCAAATTTGGGGCGTTGGCCAATCGCAGTGCGTGATCAGTTGGTGTGGAGAGGGTGGGGGGTGGTGGTGGGTGGTGGCCAATCGGAGGGTGAGATCGATTGGTGGGGCGGTGCATGACTGGTGGCGGTGGCCAATCAGAGAAGAGCGCGGGAGGGGGAAGAGAGGAGGTGCGGGGGGGGGGATTGTTGCTGTATTTGAATTTGAGGGCATTGACCAATCAGAGGAGAGCTCGATGAGGGTGTGACCAATCAGAGGAGAGTAAGGGGGGAGGGGTGATGAAGGTGGCCAATCAGAGACGAGCGGGGTGAGTGGGGGGGGGTTCATATTGTTGGTTCTTTCGGTAAAGTCACCACCACGTTAAAGAAGGGAAACAATAAAATAATAAAAATATAAAACAATAAAATTATTATTCTTGGTTCTTTTGGTAAAGTCACCACCACGTTAGAAGGGAAACAATAAAATAATAAAAATATAAAACAATAAAATTATTATTCTTGGTTCTTTCGGTAAAGTCACCACCACGTTAGAAGGGAAACAATAAAATAATAAAAATATATAAAACAATAAAATTGTTGTAAAACAATAAAATTATTATTCTTGGTTTTTTCGGTAAAGTCACCACCACGTTAAAGAAGGGAAACAATAAAATAATAAAAATATAAAACAATAAAATTATTGTAAAACAATAAAATTATTATTCTTGGTTCTTTTGGTAAAGTCACCACCACGTTAGAAGGGAAACAATAAAATAATAAAAATATATAGGACAATAAAATTATTGTAAAAAATAAAATTATTCTTCTTGGTTATTTCGGTAAAGTCACCGCCACGTTAGAAGGGTAACAATAAAATAATATTTAAAAAAATAAAACAATAAAATTATCACGACGTTTCGCCTGCAACACAAGCAGCAATCGTCATCAGGTGTGAAAGCCACAGCAAGAGAAATGTTTAAAAAAAATAAAGCGACCACTTTTTTTCAACGTTTTTTTAATTTAAAGTGGCCACTTTTTTTATTACAAAATGTTCATGCTGTGCTTGTCACACCTGATGATGATGGTTTGCGTTGCAGTCGAAACGGCGTGAGAATTTCACCGTTTCAATGTCGTTACTTCCCTTCAACGTGACTTTACCGACAGAACCGAGAAAATAAAGACGAAGATCACCCCCACGCTACGTTAGCCTCTAGCAGACAAATTTCGATTTAAAGCTTTCGTGACTGCAGTAATTCATATTCTAAAGCTCTTTCGGTAAAGTCACGTTGAAGGGAAACAATAAAATAATAAATATATATTTAAAACAATAAAAATTCTCACGACGTTTCGACCGTAACGCAAACGGTCATCATCACCACACACACACACACACCAGTACCACACACACACACCAGTACCACACACACACACACCAGTACCACCACACACACCAGTACCACCACACACACACCAGTACCACACACACACCAGTACCACACACACACCAGTACCACCACACACACACACCAGTACCACACACACACACCAGTATCACCACACACCAGTACCACCACACACACACCAGTACCACACACACACACACCAGTATCACCACACACCAGTACCACCACACACACACCAGTATCACCACACACACACACATCAGTACCACCACACACACACCAGTACCACACACACACACACCAGTACCACACACACACACCAGTACCACACACACACACACCAGTACCACACACACACCAGTACCACCACCCACACACACACACCAGTACCACACACACACCAGTACCACCACACACACACACACCAGTACCACACACACACACCAGTACCACACACACACCAGTACCACACACACACACACACCAGTACCACACACACACCAGTACCACCACACACACACCACTACCACCACACACACACCAGTACCACACACACCAGTACCACACACACACCAGTACCACACACACACACACCAGTACCACCACACACACACACACCAGTACCACCACACACACACCAGTACCACCACACACACACACCAGTACCACACACACACACCAGTACCACCACACACACACCAGTACCACCACACACACACACCAGTACCACCACACACACACACCAGTACCACCACACACACCAGTACCACACACACACACACACCAGTACCACACACACACACCAGTACCACCACACACACACCAGTACCACCACACACACACCAGTACCACACACACACACCAGTACCACACACACACACCAGTACCACACACACACACACCAGTACCACACACACACACCAGTACCACCACACACACACCAGTACCACCACACACACACCAGTACCACACACACACACACCAGTACCACACACACACACACCAGTACCACACACACACACACACCAGTACCACCACACACACACCAGTACCACACACACACACCAGTACCACACACACACCACCAGCACCACCATACCAGGTTACTCATTTGAGGCTGAGTCCACCTTGGTGGAGCAGGAATGTTCCAGACGTCCGATGTCACTGATGGTGTTTGTGGCCGAGGTGGGGAATTGAACGCAGAAGGACAGACAAATCAGTAATATTAAAAAAATACTTGTTTTTAAAACCACGCTTTAATGCAATGTACCCTACTATATTAATAGGTTTTTACCCTTTTAACGGGCACAAAAACTGACACCTTTATTCAAGGCATCGTGTTTGCAATAACCACAACACAAGCAGTCAAAATACAAACAAAAAAGACAACTCTGATAATAATATTGGCACCGTCCTTGAATTTGATTGGTCCACACCAGAGACGGCTTTTCTTAGAGCCCTTAAGTCTCTCCACTGGTGTTGGACCAGAAGACGCCAAAAGGCGTACAACTCAAAAAAACAGCAGCATACCATCAGAGTATTGAGGGCTCGGGGTGAGCACTTACATTATGAGACCTCCTCTTGCCAGTAACAAGATATAGGAATAGGTTTTTACCCTTTTTTTAACTGGCACAAAAACTGACACCTTTATTCAAGGCATCATGTTTTTGCAATAACCACAACACAAGCAGTCAAAATGCAAACAAAAAGAGACAACTCTGATAATAATATTGGCACCATCCTTGAATTTGATTGGTCCACAGCACAGACGGCTTTTCTTAGAACCCTATAGTCTCCACTGGTGTTGGACCAGATGACGCCAAAAGGCATACAACTAAAAAAAAATAGCAGCGCACTATCAGAGTATTGAGGGCTCGGGGTGAGCACTTACATTATGAAACCTCCTTTGCCAATAACAAGATATAGGAATAGGTTTTTACCCTTTTAACTGGCACAAAAACTGACACTTTTATTCAAGGCATCGTGTTTGCAATAACCACAACACAAGCAGTCAAAATGCAAACAAAAAAGACAACTCTGATAGTAATATTGGCACCGTCCTTGAATTTGATTGGTCCACACCAGAGACGGCTTTTCTTAGAGCCCTTTAGTCTCCACTGGTGTTGGACCAGAAGACGCCAAAAGGCGTACAACTCAAAAACAGAGCACCATCAGAGTATTGAGGGCTCGGGGTGAACACTTACATTATGAGACCTCCTTTTTGCCAGTAACAAGATAGAGGAATAGGTTTTTACCCTTTATTTAACTGGCACAATAAAGGCGTCAGTTTTTTGTGTGTGCCAGTTAAAAGGGTAAAACCTATTACTCTATCTTGCTTACTGGCAAAGGAAGTCTCATAGTGTACCCTTACTGGTAATGGAAGAACTCCACCACGACTCCAAGGAGTTTCCCCGTGGCTTGCCACAACGCAAAGGGACAGTGACCGACTTACAGCCAACGTGAAGTTCAGCGTGGACAATTAAGACCCAAGGCTAAACATCAAACATATATGGGTGTCTCTATGGGTGTCTCTATGGGTGTCTCTATGGGTGTCTCTATGGGTCTCTATGGGTCTATGGGTGTCTCTATGGGTCTCTATGGGTCTATGGGTGTCTCTATGGGTGTCTCTATGGGTGTCTCTATGGGTCTATGGGTGTCTCTATGGGTCTCTATGGGTCTATGGGTGTCTCTATGGGTGTCTCTATGGGTCTATGGGTGTCTCTATGGGTCTATGGGTGCTCTATGGGTCTATGGGTGTCTCTATGGGTGTCTCTATGGGTGTCTCTATGGGTGTCTCTATGGGTGTCTCTATGGGTCTATGGGTGTCTCTATGGGTCTCTATTGGTCTATGGTGTCTCTATGGGTCTATGGGTGTCTCTATGGGTCTATGGGTGTCTCTATGGGTCTATGGGTGTCTCTATGGGTCTCTATGGGTCTATGGGTGTCTATATGGGTATCTATGGGTCTATGGGTGTCTATATCGGTCTATGGGTTTATCTATGGGTTTATGGGTGTCTCTATGGGTCTATGGGTGTCTCTGTGGGTCTATGGGTGTCTCTATGGGTCTATGGGTGTCTCTATGGGTCTATGGGTGTCTCTATGGGTCTGTGGGTGTCTCTATGGGTCTATGGTGTCTCTATGGGTCTATGGGTGTCTCTATGGGTCTATGGGTGTCTCTATGGGTATATGGGTGTCTCTATGGGTCTCTATGGGTCTATGGGTGTCTATATGGGTCTCTATGGGTCTATGGGTGTCTATATGGGTCTATGGGTTTATCTATGGGTTTATGGGTGTCTCTATGGGTCTATGGGTGTCTCTGTGGGTCTATGGGTGTCTCTATGGGTCTATGGGTGTCTCTATGGGTCTATGGGTGTCTCTATGGGTCTGTGGGTGTCTCTATGGGTCTATGGGTGTCTCTATGGGTCTCTATGGGTCCATGGGTGTCTATATGGGTCTCTATGGGTCTATGGGTGTCTATATGGGTCTATGGGTTTATCTATGGGTTTATGGGTGTCTCTATGGGTCTATGGGTGTCTCTATGGGTCTATGGGTGTCTCTATGGGTCTATGGGTGTCTCTATGGGGTTATGGGTGCCTCTATGGGTCTATAGGTGTCTCTATGGGTCTCTGTGGGTCTATGGGTGTCTCTATGGGTCTATGGGCGTCTCTATGGGTCTCTATGGGTCTATGGATGTCTCTATGGGTCTCTATGGGTCTATGGGTTTATCTATGGGTCTATGGGTGTCTCTATGGGTCTCCGTGGGTCTATGGGTGTCTCTGTGGGTCTATGGGTGTCTCTATGGGTCTATGGGTGTCTCTATGGGTCTCTGTGGGTCTCTATGGGTCTTTGGGCGTCTCTGTGGGTCTATGGGTGTCTCTATGGGTCTATGGGTCTCTATGGGTCTATGGGGGTCTCTGTGGGTCTATGTGTGTCTCTATGGGTCTCTGTGGGTCTCTATGGGACTATGGGGGTCTCTGTGGGTCTATGGGTGTCTCTATGGGTGTCTCTATGGGTCTCTATGGGTGTCGCTGTGGCTCTATGGGTGTCTCTATGGGTCTATGGGTGTCTCTATGGGTGTCTCTATGGTCTATGGGTGTCTCTATGGGTCTATGGGTGTCTCTATGGGTGTCTCTATGGGTCTATGGGTGTCTCTATGGGTCTATGGGTGTCTCCATGGGTGTCTCTATGGGTCTATGGGTGTCTCTATGGGTCTCTGTAAGTCTGTGTGAGTCTATCGGTGTCTCTATGGGTCTATGGGTGTCTCTATGGGTCTCTATGGGTGTCTCTGTAAGTCTATGGGTCTCTGTGGCTCTATGGGTGTCTCTATGGGTCTATGGGTGTCTCTATGGGTCTCTATGGGTGTCTCTGTGGCTCTATGGGTGTTTCTATGGGTCTATGAGTGTCTCTATGGGGCTATGGGTGTCTCTATGGGTGTCTCTATGGGGCTATGGGTGTCTCTGTGTCTCTATGGGTGTCTTTATGGGTCTATGTGTATCTCTATGGGTGTCTCTATGGGGCTATGGGTGTCTCTATGGGTCTATGAGTGTCTCTGTGTCTCTATGGGTGGCTTTATGGGTCTATGTGTGTCTCTATGGGTCTCTGTGGGTCTCTATGGGACTATGGGGGTCTCTGTGGGTCTATGGGTGTCTCTATGGGTGTCTCTATGGGTCTCTATGGGTGTCGCTGTGGCTCTATGGGTGTCTCTATGGGTCTATGGGTGTCTCTATGGGTGTCTCTATGGTCTATGGGTGTCTCTATGGGTCTATGGGTGTCTCTATGGGTGTCTCTATGGGTCTCTATGGGTGTCGCTGTGGCTCTATGGGTGTCTCTATGGGTCTATGGGTGTCTCTATGGGTGTCTCTATGGTCTATGGGTGTCTCTATGGGTCTATGGGTGTCTCTATGGGTGTCTCTATGGGTCTATGGGTGTCTCTATGGGTCTATGGGTGTCTCCATGGGTGTCTCTATGGGTCTATGGGTGTCTCTATGGGTCTCTGTAAGTCTGTGTGAGTCTATCGGTGTCTCTATGGGTCTATGGGTGTCTCTATGGGTCTCTATGGGTGTCTCTGTAAGTCTATGGGTCTCTGTGGCTCTATGGGTGTCTCTATGGGTCTATGGGTGTCTCTATGGGTCTCTATGGGTGTCTCTGTGGCTCTATGGGTGTTTCTATGGGTCTATGAGTGTCTCTATGGGTCTATGGGTGTCTCTATGGGTGTCTCTATGGGGCTATGGGTGTCTCTGTGTCTCTATGGGTGTCTTTATGGGTCTATGTGTGTCTCTATGGGTGTCTCTATGGGGCTATGGGTGTCTCTATGGGTCTATGAGTGTCTCTGTGTCTCTATGGGTGGCTTTATGGGTCTATGGGTGTCTCTATGGGTCTATGGGTGTGTCTATGGGTCTATGGGTGTCTCTATGGGTGTCTCTATGGGTGTCTCTATGGGTGTCTCTATGGGTCTATGGGTGTCTCTATGGGTGTCTCTATGGGTGTCTCTATGGGTGTCTCTATGGGTGTCTCTATGGGTCTATGGGTGTCTCTATGGGTGTCTCTATGGGTGTCTCTATGGGTCTATGGGTGTCTCTATGGGTGTCTCTATGGGTGCCTCTGTGGGTTTATGGTTGTCTCTATGGGTGTCTCTATGGGTCTATGGGTGTCTCTGTGGGTGTCTCTATGGGTCTATGGGTCTATGGGTGTCTCTGTATGTCTATGGGTGTCTCTATGGGTGTCTATATGGGTGTCTCTATGGGTGTCTCTATGGGTGTCTCTATGGGTCTATGGGTGTCTCTATGGGTCTATGGGTGTCTCTATGGGTGTCTCTGTAGGTCTATGGGTGTCTCTATGGGTGTCTGTATGGGTGTCTCTATGAGTCTATGGGTGTCTCTATGGGTGTCTCTATGGGTGTCTCTATGGGTCTATGGGTGTCTCAATGGGTGTCTCTATGGGTGTCTCTATGGGTCTATGGGTGGCTCTATGGGTGTCTCTATGGGTGTCTCTATGGGTGTCTCTATGGGTCTATGGGTGTCTCTATGGGTGCCTCTGTGGGTTTATGGTTGTCTCTATGGGTGTCTCTATGGGTCTATGGGTGTCTCTGTGGGTGTCTCTATGGGTCTATGGGTCTATGGGTGTCTCTGTATGTCTATGGGTGTCTCTATGGGTGTCTATATGGGTGTCTCTATGGGTGTCTCTATGGGTGTCTCTATGGGTCTATGGGTGTCTCTATGGGTCTATGGGTGTCTCTATGGGTGTCTCTGTAGGTCTATGGGTGTCTCTATGGGTGTCTGTATGGGTGTCTCTATGAGTCTATGGGTGTCTCTATGGGTGTCTCTATGGGTGTCTCTATGGGTCTATGGGTGTCTCAATGGGTGTCTCTATGGGTGTCTCTATGGGTCTATGGGTGGCTCTATGGGTGTCTCTATGGGTGTCTCTATGGGTGTCTCTATGGGTCTATGGGTGTCTCTGTGGGTGTCTCTATGGGTCTATGGGTGTCTCTGTATGTCTATGGGTGTCTCTATGGGTGTCTCTGAGTCTATGGGTGTCTCTATGGGTGTCTCTATGGGTCTATGGGTGTCTCTATGGGTGTCTCTATGGGTGTCTCTATGGGTCTATGGGTGGCTCTATGGGTGTCTCTATGGGTCTATGGGTGTCTCTATGGGTGTCTCTATGGGTCTATGGGTGTCTCTATGGGTCTATGGGTGTCTCTATGGGTCTATGGGTGTCTCTCTGGGTGTCTCTATGGGTGTCTCTATGGGTGTCTCTATGGGTCTATGTGTCTCTGTGGCATTGTCCTTGTCCTGTCCGCCTTTTGTCGCTGGCCCCTGGCCTACTAACTCACTGCTGCTGCTGCTTACTGCTCTCTGGTGCAGCCCAATCGGTTTGAAAGACAACGCATACAACATCATATTCGTTATTATTAATATCAGATCCATATTCGTTGTCGTCATTATCAGATCCATATTCGTTGTTATTAGTATGATCAGATCCATATTCGTTGTTATTATTATCAGATCTATATCCGTTGTTATTAGTATGATCAGATCTATATTTGTTCTTATTATCAGATCCATATTCGTTATTATTACGATGAGATCCATATTCGTTGTTATTATTATAATCAGATCCATATCCGTTGTTATTATTATCAGATCCATATCCGTTGTTATTATTATCAGATCCATATTCGTTGTTATTATTATTATCAAATCCATATTTGTTGTTATTAGTATGATCAGACCCATGTGTGTTGTTATTATTATGATCAGATCCATATTTGTTATTATTATTATCAGTTCCATATCCATTGTTATTATCATTATCAGATCCATATTTGTTATTATTATGATCAGATCCATATTTGTTATTATTATGATCAGATCCATATTTGTTATTATTATGATCAAATCCATATTACTTGTTATTATGA